CTTTCAATTTGGGACAGTTTTTTGATTGGTTACCCCCCAAAGACGCAAGGCATTATGGGGATGTGAAAGTAGAGAATAGAGGTTATGCACCATCACGTGACGGGACACATAATACAGCATGAGTTGTCTGTGGTTAGATGGCAGAACAATGAAACCCCTTTGCTCTCGGAAATTGAAGTATTTCTCATGTAAAATGATCGTATTGTTTCTGCCATCTAACATGGCTGCCGTCACGTGATGGTGCAAAATCTCTATTTGAGGACTGACAAAATTCAGGATTTAACTTCTGGAGGTGGTAGGTCTCAGGTAAGTCCACCCCTCCCCTCTGAATAGGTACCGTAGGTTGACCTAGTGGGTTACCTGTGGTTCTTGAACCAGTCGATCTGTTGACTCCTATTATAGTCACACACAACAGAGCATGGGATCGGGACGAGTGCTCGTTCATGTCCGTGAAGGCAGTGGATCTGTTTTGTTTGCCAAGTTGAAACACCTGAAACACAACAACCCCTGATCTTTAGACAAGAATAGCACTTTGATAGAATTATGAGATTACGCTGCGCACAGTCCCTGTATTATCCTGGGTCACCGTTTGGGGTTTGCTGTGGTTTATTTGCCCGAGTGAGGATTAGTAGCTAGTCTAACATCCCCAAGGGAAGAGATGTTGGGAGTGAGGGGACAAATGAAAACTTGTACTGAAAACGGAATAACACTAGGAAAAGTTCTTTGTTTTCTTTATATTTCGTGCACGCTTAATATCAGTTAAAAATTACAATATTTCTTTTCCCCTCGAAGAGTTTTGGAAAATTGTTGTGTCCTGTTCTCAGCTAGAGTGGTGTTTTAGCGTAATAGAGGTTTTGCACCATCACGTGACGGCAGCCATATTAGATGGCAGGAACAATACAATCGTTTTAAATGAGAAAGAATAAAATTCCCGAAAGCAAAGGGATTTTATTTTTCTGGGCCCGGTTGTACGAAGCCTGGATAGCGCTATCCGACGGATAAATCTTATCCACGGAGTAAATTTATTGGATAACAGAATTGAATTATCCAGTGGATAAGGATTTATCCGCCGGATAGCGCTATCCAGGCTTCGTACAACCGGGCCCAGCCATCTAACCACAGGCAGCAAAACCTCTATTGGAGTTAACAAAAATTGTTAGGAAGGAGTTTATGAAGCCGAGCTTGGGCACCCTGTGCTCTCTCCATGGACTATTTCACTTACCTCGTTTAACTCTTGAAGATTCGAAACCATGACCTCCTGTAACCCAGGTACGAAAAGCCCATCTTTACCCTGCTTGATGTCCAGCTTGGCCGAGGTGTCCTCACTTAGCAAGTCTCTCAGCATTTCATTGTAAATCTCCATGACGCTAATACTGATAGAGTATTGCCACTCCCCTTGCCGATCTGACGTCTCCTCGAACAGTAGCTGTAGGGCCCTTTGATTTATGCCGGGGTTATCGGGGATACCCTAGGAAAGGCAGTAATGTTAGCTGCTAAACAATTGATCGGGGTTATCGGGGATACCCTAGGAAAGGCAGTAATGTTAGCTAAACAATTGATCGGGGTTATCGAGGATACCCTAGGAAAGGCAGTAATGTTAGCTAAAAAATTGATCGGGATTATCGGGGATACCCTAGGAAAGGCAGTAATGTTAGCTAAACAATTGATTGGGGTTATCGGGGATACCCTGGAAAAGGCAGTAATGTTAGCTAAACAATTGATCGGGGTTATCGGGGATACCCTAGAAAAGGAAGTAATGTAATTTTGGTCTCAGTTGGTCGCGTGTGACTGGGAATCGCAGTAATATGTCATAATCGTCATCATCATGTACCATGTATTTTCATCATCAAGTATCATCATCATGTTTGATCATCATCATCGTCGTTATCATCATGTATCAAAATCGTCATCATCATGGATCACCATTATGTATCATCATCGTTATCATCACCACCATCATGTATCATCATCATCATCATATATCATCATCATCATCATGTATCATAATCATTATCATCATGTATCACGTTTCATCATCATCATCTACCATCATCATCATCACCAAGTATCATCATCACCATGTATCATCATCACCATGTATCATCATCACATTCAGTTCTTACCTCCATCGTGAATGTCTTGCCACTCCCTGTCTGCCCATAGGCAAAGATACACACATTATAACCATCGATACATGATATAACTAAAGGCTTGACTTCGTTAAACACCTAGAAAAAAACAATGCACTACTATTAGCATATCAAGTTGCGACGAAAAACAGTTAAGACAAAAACCCCGACGTGCGAAAGTTGCGGATGATTGAGGACGCATGACACCAGCTCAAATAGCAACAAAATAGCTTGGTATCGATCAGCTAAACTGATATTTTGAGTCTACATATCAATAGCTTTTATTAAACAAAATTTCTCAGAGATCCTCTTGTCTGATCTAAGTTGATGCATGGCAAATTCACAGATGGAATTGGAATTTGACATGTTAGGAAGAAAACCGGTGAACTCGGAGAAAAACCCTTGAATCAAGGGAGAGACCTAACAAAAACTACTCACAAGTGATGCTGAGTCTGGGAATCAAACCCRAGACCCCAGAGGTGAGAGGTGAGTGTACTTCTGCTACGCCACCCTCGATTTCCTCAAAGAGAAGCACTACCCTCCCAGTTTATGTACATGCTCATCCATAATTATTCCTGTTGAAAGCTTTCCATTCAGAAGGTAAAAATCCAATACGAGACCGGAAATGACGGGTATAAATAGCAACCTATTTAGAGAAAATAATAATAACTCCTGGTAGTGCAATAACTTACTTCTTCCTGTGTTGAATCAGGCTTAAACACTTGGTCCATCTCGAACGGTCTGTTGGATCCTTTAGACCAAACATTTAGTAACCCGTCATCATCCTCGTCAAACGACACCACTTTCTCCGCCATTTTCCCACCACCGTCTTCCCGGATGACCGGCCGAACACGGCAGTACACTCGTATGTTTCCCTTCAAGTCCACTAGTTCGTTGTGGTATTTCTTTCGTAACGCCATTTCTTTCTTGTATTTTTGGACAAGGTCTTTGTTTCGTCCGTCTATATTCTCTATTCTATTGAGTATCTGAAACATAAAGAGGGCCATATGATGAGTTCTTAAGTTAAAAGATATGGCTCTTAATTGACCTTATCTATTTTCTAAGATATTATTACTTATAGATTATTAAAATACATGTTTCTTTTGTTTCTTTCTTTCTCGGACCTAAATGTTAACTACTGGTTTACCAGTAATTGTGTTTTCCAATTATGTCATTATTGTTATTGTTATCATTATCATCATCATCATCATCATTATTGTCCAGTGTCTTATCATTTCAGACCATGTGTCATTTCCTAGAGTATGATTTCTTTGTTTAACGGTTGTAGATAGAAAATGGAGAGTCCCACAACTGAGTAAATTTTCTCAAAGAGCATGGGGTCGTCATTTCAGTATCTTTTTGTCTCGTTTAGCACCCCTAGGTGACCCATAATGCCTTGCAAATCAAGATGGCCGCTACATCGTCCAAGTAGTCTAAAACGACAATCGACAAATAAACACAGAACCTGATTACAATCTTCTTCGCAGCACGAGCTATAAGTATTTGAGTGTACACCAATATGGCGGATAGCAACGGTTGTCAAGRCTTTGGTCACGTGGGTGAAAACCGAGAATTGGTAGGAGTCAGAACAATCTTGTACCCAGAGCCTGCGTTCCTTCTGGCCTGCGGCGAATAACAAGGACTCTGGCATAATCCACATTTTGGCGCATGCGCAATTTTCAGAAAGTGAGATATAAACGGTCAAAATAAGCAAAGTAAAGATTAAATCGAAGTCAAAATCAAAGCACAAATCATAGTACAAATTAAAAATCGTGGGGGGAAATATGTTTAATTTTTGGCAAGTCTTTGAACGCGTGCGCTGTTATACCGGAAGTCCAAGAAATCCTGGTCTCAAAAAATGGATTATCCCAGAGCCCTCGTTCTTCAACCCAGGCCAGAAGAAACGCAGTCTCTGGGTACGAGATTGGAGTCAGAGGTGATGTGTCTATTTGCTTGTCTGTGTGCCTGTGTTTATTATCTTTACTACATGGCTGACGTGAAACCCTTCCGTCACTCATGTTAGTTTTTTTAAATTTCGATTCAAGAAGTCATTTTTACTTGCAAAATCCTAGAAACCTCTAGGAAGCCCTAGCGCATTTTGTCGAGCATGCGCAGTAAGGATGACACAGGTCTCTTGGATCGAGAGTAGTTAGTGTCTTTAGTGACGTGCTCGCTTAGTCACAATAAACCCTGCGCTTAGTTGCGGTTTCCTAGCGCAGTTGAAACAAAGAAATTTCGTTCGAGTACATAAAACCTGTATGGTTACCTGTCGTTGAACGTCCTTGATAGCAGGTTTTATGGCTGTTGCCATCTTCAGGGTCTCTATTTTCAGGTCCTTATACTGTCTCTTTATTTGTTTGATAACAGTTGATAGTAACTTGACCTGTAGTACAGTGTTATCTAACTTGGCTTTCATTAATCTGCTGGACTTTTCGGAGCTTTGTCTCTCTTCCTCTAGCTTTCGTTTGGTTTCATATTCACGTTTTTGCTTGTCGCGTTCTGCTTGTTTGTGTAGTCTTTCCATCTCTCCTTTCAGTTTGTAAATCTGAAAAACGATAGATTAAACTAGTCTTAATGATCACAGCTCTGTCATATTGTATTATTTAAAGGCGAAGTGAATATCGGGGAATATTTACCGAGACGCGAGTATATTCTCCGATATTCACTGAGAAGATAAAAGACTTTTTTTTCGGTAACAGCAACAAAGCGGCTGGCCGCCATTTTGGATTATCGCTGGAGGTGATTATCGTGTGATAGTGTGAGTTTCTCGACCAATCAACGCGCGAGATTTTCAATAATCACTTATGTGTTGTTACTAAACACCTATAATACCGCCTCTCACCAATGCGGCCCGAGTTCGAGTCCTGCCGGGTTCGGTGTCGTATGTGAGTAGAGGTGTTTGTTGGTTCTCTCCTGTGCTTCGAGGGGTTTTTCTCCGGGTTCTCCGGTTTTTCCTCCCTCCCCAAAAATCAACTTCTAAATTCTAATTCGATTTACCGGCTGCCTTCAATATTAGGTCGCAAGGCCTGTTAGGCATTTGGCCGTCCACCCAGGAGTGTTAAACGCATTAGACGATAACGCAGTAAACGATATATCAGAAAGGTTCTTGGAGTCAAAGAAGATAGGCAATAGGAAGACCATGAACAAAAGGAATAATGGGCACACATCTAAACAACATCACCACTACCACCACCACCACCACCATCATCATCATCATCATCATTATTTCGTCTCGATGACGATTGTTCGCATGCAAATATGAAGCACTGTAACACTCACCTCACTCTCCAAGGATTTAATCACTCCATCTTTCTCCCGCAGTGATCCTTCAAGATTGCGTGACTCCTTGAGGGAATCCCGTAAACTTTGGCATTCAGACAAAGCCTTCTTTTCTCTTACAGTCGCATCGTTGTTTGAAATCCTGAGAGCCTTAATCTCTGACTGTAATGCTGCATTCTGTTGGAAAAGAATTTTGGAAATTTGAATGATTTTGATAGATAGCCTGGACATCAACTTATGCATGTAACATCAGGAACGTAGCCAGGATTTTCTGAGGGGGGATGGGGGGAGAGGGTCAAATTCAAAAGTCTGCCATACTGTTTCAGCCCCCGAAACACCGAGCCAAAAAAACTTTAAAAACCATAATTATGCTTTACGTTTTACTAAAATAAAATAAAAAATCGTAAGTTTACCGTATAAATTCTAAAAAGCTGCCATTTTGTTGCCACTAAGGCTCCTCCTGCCTATGCCCCTGTAACACTATGTAACATTTGAGTGATCCCGTTCTGGATCAACCTACCTTGCTACTCAGATCTGATCGTGTTGTTCCTAATAGTGACTCCAGGTCTTTGTTTTGTTTGATCATCTCGTCAAGTTGTCTTTTGGTTTCTTCTGACACTACAGATACCATTCTCACCTGGAAAAAAATGCATTCAAGGTTGGAACCAAACTATACCATATCTAATTGCTAGTACACAGAGACCCAAACCATATTGAAATGATGTTTAAGGGAAAGATTTATGTATTACCAGTATTTGGTGCTATGCACTGATCAAGACAAGCTCTCATAACAGCTTAATGGGAAATACACTACCATCAAGCAACAAAATCGTAAGAGTACATACATGTAGAGATACATGGGAATTGTGGGATTACGATACATGGGAACGATTTATTTGACTGATAGTAGTCGACCATTGCCCATTACTATCATCTAATGACTTTTGTCTCCATGAACAAGTACAGTGAAACCTCTATGATAAGGACACAAAAGGGCTAGAAAAAATTTTCTGCAAGAGGTGTCCTTAATACGGAGGTTGGCTCTATGAAACAAAATAAAAACCTATGGCAATTTTACTGAACAAAATATCTGTCAATAATATATTAGATGTGTCTATGAGGAGAGGTTTAACTGTAGCAATGAAAATAGTGGCAACAGAAATGGGAAAAATCCTATTGAACATTAAAGGGAAATAACTAAACAGGTGATCTTCATTATTGTACAGCTTGACTAAGCTCTTTGACATAGATATCCCCTAGAAAAGATTGTATCATGCAGCCATACCTTTGGTGGTGTGCTGGCCAGATTAGTATACTTTGTCTCAGTGTCCCTCAGCTTTTTTCTCACTTCCATTAGTTCTATGTCATGCTTTTTCTTGGATTCCTTTGCTGATTCTTCAAGAGTGCTGATGTCTTGTTCAAGATTTCTGATTTTAGTCTTTAACAGATCATTTTCTTCTTGGAGTTGTAGATGCTTGGATTGGTTATTATTCTCTGTTATAACCTAAGACAAGATTTATAATAATAATCTTTATTATTTTCATCAGTAACTTCAGGTCAGTGACTTCAAATTCAGGGCACAGCTAACCTCACAGATTGAATCCTAAAACCTTCTCTTTGCTGATCTAAGTCAGGGCACAGCTAACTCACAAATAAAATCCTACAACAACCTCTGGGTTGATCTAAGTCAGGGCACAGCTAACTCACAGATAGAATCCTAAAACAACCTCTGGG